TTTAGATCAGCCCTGTCCCAACCTGGTGCCCCTCCAGATGGGCAGAACTACAATTCCCAGCACTCCCAGTCCACATAGCCACAAGTGCTGCCAGCTGGGGCGATGGGAGTTTTGATTCAAGACAATTGAAAGGAGCCTGGATGATGAAGGCTGATGGAGATGCTTTCATAAAACCCCCCAAACTGTTGCTTGTTTCCCAGGTGAACCTGGTGTCCAGGAGCACCTTTGATCGGCTTAGGCTGATTTTCCAGCTACATTCCTACCTGGATGAGCAGAGCCTCACCACAGTTATCCATGTGCTGGTAACCGCTCACCTGGATCACTCAATGCGAGGCGGACTTTGAAGATGATCTGGGCACTTCAGTTAATTCAAAATAGAGCTGTGCGGCTATTAACTAGGACCAATCCTAGAGGACACATCACACCGGTCCTCCGCCAGCTTCACTGACTGCCTGTCATTGCCCAGGCCCAATACACACACACACAAACCCCCAAGTGGATTGGGACTGGGATATCTAAAGGAACACCTGTCTCCATATAGCCCTGCTAGACCTTCAGCAGCGGCCCTCTTTCATGGACCCCCAACCAAATGAAGTGAGGGGGCAACTGGCAAGAAAAGGGGCCCTTTCTATTATTGTACCTCATCCTTGGGACTCTCTTCCTAAAGAGGTGTGACTGGCACCCTCATTACTCTGTTTTCACCACCAAGCCGTTTTTGTTTAGTACTTGCTTTTAGAATCATGGTTTTATTTGCTCTTCTCTGCTGGTTTTATCATTGTTTTTACTGTTGGTTCTCTTATTCTCCTGGTTTGCACCTTCTATTAGTCGGATTTTAAGTGGTTTTACGTAGATGTTATTGTTTTGTTTTACTACAGCTATGTTATGTTGTTGTTTCTGCTTTTTTTGAGATGCCCAGAGAGCCCCTGAGGTATGGGTAGCATGCAAATATAATGGATGGATAAATAAACGACTGCATGGAAAAGTCACGGGTCGAAGCTGTTCTGAGGAAGGGATGCACCGAACGGCTCTTGCGCCAAGCCTAGCAGATTCAGGGAATCTCTGGCTGCTACTGCACCCTGAGGCTGCTCCTGTGGGATTCCTTTTCCTCTACAAGTTTGCTTGCTTTTTATCCAGGGCAGCTCTGAGCACAAGCAGGGCAGGCGGAGAGGGGCTACTCTACCCTTCCCCCTCTCGTTTTCAACCCTACCTCCTCTGGGGCTCTTTTCAGTTGAGCATCAACTCACTTCGGGGGCCCATCCTTTCACGAGATGGAAGCCCTGAAGTCAGCGGCTTCCATGGATCTCATGTCCCACCAGGTCAGAAGAAGCCATACTTCTCATCTCTGCCTGCCTGTCTTTCGCTCATCCTTTTGTCCTTTCCTTCTTTCTCTAGGCAGTTCTCTGAGACCACCCAGGGACCTCAGCTTGTCATGGCCAGGAGTATAGGATTAGTCACATCCTGGCTGCTCCTTCCCATACCCCACCCGTTTTAGACCTCCGCAAGACTGCCCATGGCCTCGGAAGATGGTTGTTTCCACGGGGGCAGGAGAGAGGATACTGGAAACAGTAGCCGTACCTTTGGCTCTGGCTTTGCTGTTGTTAGTCACGAAGTCGTGTCCGACCCATCGCAACCCCATGGACAACATTCCTCCAGGTCTTCCTGTCCTCCACCATCCCACAGAGTCCACTCAAGCTCACACCAACTGCTTCAGTGACTGCATCTAGCCACCTCATCCTCTGCCGTCCCCTTCTTTTGCCCTCAATTGTTCCCAGCATCAGGCTCTTCTCCAGGGAGTCCTTCCTTCTCATTAGGTGACCAAAGTATTTGAGTTTCATCTTCAGGATCTGGCCTTCTGAAGAGCAGTCAGGGTTGATCTCCTCTCGGACTGACTGGTTTGATCACCTTGCGGTCCAAGGGACTCGCAGGAGTCTCCGCCAGCACCACAA